AAGCCATGCGAGCCATGTGGACCTGTCGAAGAATTTTCGGTTGCACAAAGGTCCTAACTCCAAATTTATAGAGTGGATGTACCGAACTATAGTCTGTAAGATTGTAACTTATGCCTGCATAGGCTGGTAGCCATAAAAGCTGCAAACAACTGTCAGTTCACGTCTGAACGAACTCCGAGGTATGGCTTTACTGTCGGTGGCTCCTACGCTGGACTCTACCCCACATTTTTTTCAAAGGAAATCTGCTTAGGAAGGAAAATTCAGATCACAATCTCAAACCGAGATGTCTGGTTAAATGGTTTACCTGAACTAGAGATCCCAGATATGTACCGTGGTACACAGAGGGGACAAAGATGGAGGGCAGAGCAGCAGCGGGTGTCTTTCGATTTGGCACCGAACTTTCTATTGCCATGGGTACTAGATCCACGCTCTCTCAGGATCCGAAATTGAACCTTGAGAAAGGTGTCTAGTTATCTTTTCAGGCCGCCATAAGTGCGCTCTCCAATAGGACGATCACCTCCAGTCTCATTAAACGAATGCTTTGTATCCAAATCTTGGCAGCAAAGAACACGGTATTACTATGCTGGGCACCAGAACACTTCGGGATCGTAGCTAATGAGGCTGACGACAAATTGGCAAGGGAAGGCTCATCGCCTGTACTTGTGGAGCCAGAGCCGTTTTCTAGACTCAGTTGGTCCTCTTCAAGGCTCATAATCGAAGCCTGGGTAAACTCAGAATGCAGTAAGTACTGCGAATAGGTAGGGGGCCTTAAAAAGACCAAACCTTTTGGTTATTCTTTTGCTAGGAAAGATAAAAATCTCTTGAACAGATCAAGTTGCTAATTGGCCCTCACATGCACCGGATTGGTCTTTCCACAAAGACCGATTGCCATCTTTACGTCGGAGCACATTATATATAATAGTCCAGTTAGCCAGACTACGATTGCAATACTTCAGTTTTTCCTTTTAGATTTTATAAGGGAGGCTAATAACATCTTGGGCCGTCAATTTCCAACACGTTTGAATGGCTTCACAGGTGCCGCATTTAATGAAAAAGAACCTAGGCCAACGTATAGGGGCGATTTTGCCTTCGACCAAGACGAGGGAAGAACAGCAATAAGGCGGCTTTAAAAATGCAAGGCCCAAAGACCGAACGTGTCTTATCTTGAGATCCCCTAAAAACTATTACGGCTATGAAGTGTAATATTGAGTACAACCTTCAGCTCTGTTCAAATTGGAAAGAGTGTATCCGCTCCGTTTTAATCCTAAGTAAGTATTAGATACTCTTGTGTGACATTTCAGTCTGATGCTGGAAAGCGTAAGTTCTTTTTTATGCCACGGAAACGTGGATAATGTCGAACAAAGATGTGAAGGCTTTAGGGGACAAAAAGATAAATAATCTCGCAAGATCTGTAGACCTGTTCGCGTGGGCGCTGGGTATCGAAGAAGATGGAATGACGAACTGTCGAAGCTTTTTAATGATATGTACATAGCAGAGTGCATAAAAATACACCGATTGCGCTGGCTTAGTCCTTTTGTAGCATAGATAATAATAATAGATTGGCGCTTAAATATATGTACATATTTTAGTGTTTGGCCTCCTCTCCTTCTTGTAGCATGCATAATGACGCTTAATTGAGAATATCCTTCGACTCGATACCCATGGATGTGCGACGAAAGCAAGGTTGCGCACATAGCAGCATCGATAGAACCATTCATGGCATGTGCAACGGAAGCAAAGGCGCCCACGCATTAGCATCGATAACCAGCTTCGATCTTTAAACCATTTTATTACTGCCTGCCAGCATCTCCAGTTCTTCGCACTCTCATCTTTCTGCCTTTACTTTATTTTTCTTAAAAAAGTCTATCTTCCCTCCTTCTTTTTTTGGGTATGCAGGTCATTTCTACTTTCTACCATAGTTGTTAGGCTGAGTATTTTTAAAATAACCCATGTACAGATTTTTGTTTAAGATCTCCTGCAGTCCACTGAATTTTATTTACATATACATACATACATACATACATATATTTACTACGTCTTACGTGGGTGTTTTTTTTCTTGCATTTTTTCTTTCTATTCTTCACTAGGGAAAGCGTTTCGTTGATTAATTGATTGCACAAGCAGTTAATTCCTGGAATCAATTTAATACTGCGCTATAAATTACATAACGTTGCATTGTAAACATTTATTTCTATTTATGTATTTTGATTTCACTTTTGTTTATTTCAAAGTCAACTATGTTGATCAATGCGATAATTACTTATGTACATACATACATACATGCATATATGTATTGCATTGATGCATCAGCATTGATTAGGTGTAATAGTTTTGCATGCACATTAGGGTGGTAGAAAAAAAAGCGAAGTTCCTGTAGTTTATGTTTAACGTGAGAACCTACCGCAATAAATGCAGTCCGAGCTCCAATGAGCTCAAAAGCTTAACGGATTAATTCAGGTCTTAATCATTGCCCTGAAATGCAAACATTTCAGTCCCAAAGGCAGTGTGGGCGGATACACTTACCACCTTGGTAAAGCCGAAACCTACCTAAAATCTGTGCCGTTCTTTAGGTCCCGGCACCCGGTTGAAATGCAACTCCACATTGAACCCTTGCGAGTTCTACCCGCATTTAGGTATTAAACCGCAGCCCCCGCGATACTCCCCGAAGGCACCTTACCTCCACTGAATAGACGGGACTAGTGCTCGCCAGTCGCTCGCCGGGACTTGCTCGACCAGCTCAACTCACGCGACCTACTAAACCTACCAGAATACACCTGCTTAACCCCACAAATATTCAGATTTGCTTTTCCGCCATCATCAACCTCCAACACTGTCTCCCTAACCGGAGAACAGCTTCACCATGTTGCCACCATTAACCTACATTCATTCTGCTCGTCTCGCCAATCTCGCAGGACTTACTAGCCTTACTGGGGAGCACTTTCCAGCCCGGGTGGACAATAGGCATGGATTATTGCTCCTTTTCCAGTTTTCTACACCCGCTCGAGTTGCTTGACGAGGCACATTCTTCCTTGCAAATCTCACCAGCTGTATGATCTTACATTCACATCTGGCCTGTCTTTTGGCCTTGTTCGTCGGCTTTGCTTATCTAGACAACGAACACACTCCAGGGGCATCTGTTCGCCCGCGATACCAGGTTTTAAGTCTCTGGTAAGACCTCGAAAGCCGTAGACTCTTATGCCAATTGAGGCTCCGACCCACTCAGGATTGGTAGCCTTTATCTGGGGTAGGCGGGGTAGTCAAGCCCGTACCCTGGAAACCTCAAAGCCCCCTGTCTCCCCGCCTCTTTTCTCAAACCGGGCTTGGCGCAGTCTATGGCAGAGATAGTCTCAACGGATGGCCGGACAGAGTTTTGCAATCGACTCTCCGTCTGATATGGAGTATCACGCTACCTCACGCCAGTCGCTTCTTTTCTGTGCCAACTGACGGCAAGTGAAGCCAAGTCCTTCTCCACATGGTCTTTCCATCGCAATGGGGACCTCCCTCTTCCCTTGCTACCATCAACGCATTCAGAGTTGGATACTTTCAAAGCTGGATAAAGGTTAGGTTAGGTTCTGATTGACTGCATCATTTAAAAATAAACACTTCTTGCTTTTATTAAATGCCTCATTGAATTCATTTAAATATTTTAAAATAGTGTTTTCTTAATTTCTTTTGAATTACATATGACAAGTAATTCGTATTATTAAATAGAATAGTAAGAATAGCTGTACTCACATGTAGTAGGTGCTGATTTAGAGGACAGGTTAGGGCAGGGTTGTTTTTTCATTTTGTATTTTTAGCTTTTAATTCGGAAAACTATTACAAATCGTAGGGACTACATACACACACTCAATTTTTTATTTTATAGACTACTACTTTTATTTATGCAGAAAGTATTAATTTGAAAGCTACTAGTGTAACTTATCCTTAATTTTTATTATCATCACTTACGCGAAGTAAAAGAGCCAGTAGACTGTAGGCATTATTCATAGTCTAAAATAAGGAGAATAATTACTAAAAAAAAAAATTCTGCAAATATAATGAAATTGAACGTTGGTATACCTTAGAAAAAATAGATAATCCGATTTTGAAAAATTGGCCGGCATGCAAGACCAAAGGCTGGTTTAAATATTCCATGTAGAGGAAAATCATGCGCCTATTATAGACGGACATTCCAGTCCAATCGCAGCAATAAAGGTGATAACTCAACTTTTCTGATTGCACAGTTAATTCATTGGCATAATAGCAAGGTAAGAATATTTCCATGGACATGGCTACAACGTATTGTAACATGGCCAAGTATTCAGCGGGATTTTCCCTGAAGGAAACCTAAGAAAGCAAAATTGTATAAATGTTTGTTTTCAAATGGCACAAGTAAATATCTCGTAGCATTATTTTACACTTTGCAAGCGATATATGATGAAGCAAATGATGAATGAACTTAGCATAATCTGCATTAGTACAGGCAGGGATACCATTTGCTCGCAGCGCTTAGACATACTGAAAAAAAAATTAAATAAAAAAATTTTGAGAACAAAATTTTCGTTATGATTATGTCGATAAGATTGTCAATCGCTGGCTTAGTTAACCTACTCAATAACACACTGATGCATTTTCATAATCTTCACGAATTCTTTGGTAACTGCATCGTCTTCTGTTGCATTGCCCAAACGCTCCAAACGCTTACCAATTACACGCAGGCAGAGTGTTAAATGCAATAGAAAGTAGCTTAGGAATAAATCGATTTGAAGGTTGCATAAACAAGTGAACGGCATTGCGATGAACTCATAAAAGTACATTGCCCAGTAATAGTCCTCACGCCATTTTCGTGGCAACCAAAATGGAAATGGCAGCTCGCGCGTATTCATAAACGGCACCGCAACAAATGCACAGATGGCCGCGTTAAAGCTGCAGCAGACATAGATAATAACCACTTTATGAAAGGCACGTTGTGCGCATCGCCACATCACCTGCTCGCCGACCGTCTGCGGCACGAAAAGTTCACTCATCTGCCATTCATGCAGCAAACCTGCAGCCTTTAGTGAGTAGTGCCAGATGTTGAAAATTTTGAGCACCAAACTCATTTCGGTGAGTAAGAATTTTAGCACTTGGGTAGCATGGTCCAGATTGTCACTGAAGATCACATCGAGCCACATGAGTAGTGAAAGTGTAAACGTAAGTGTAATGTGTAAGAAAAGTTGATAGCAGCGGTAATATCGTTTGAACCACGAGCCCCCGCCATTGCCACTGACCACAGGCCAAAGTCCCAAAAAGGTAAGTGCGCGTATTAAAAAACGCGAATTGGCAATTGTATCGAAGGACATGACGCGAGTTAATATGGAGCGGTTATATCAGTTAACTGTACTTCTTTGCGTAGAAATTGAGCTTCTTATAGCCGTAATCGGGGTAGACAATTAGCTGCTTAACTGTTGGGCGTATTTCTTCGCAAAAATTGAATTTTTCCTAATGACTTAATAAGCAGCGTTGGGTTAAGTGATTTTCAATTAAAATGCAATTATGTACACATAAGGGTGGTCCAAAAATGCATGTGAAAAAGTAAAGTCGGAATTTTAATGCTCTCACCCCCAAAGATTGTTATATACCGAAAAAATGTACCCATATTTTTTTATTTTGAAACCAAAAAATATTAGAATAGTACAGAATTCTTGAAAATTTATACTTTCCGATCGGAAAACTCTGTTTCCCTTCAGCAGATTTCCAATAATAATACCCAATTATTTACTTAACCATCTTTTCATAGTAACTATATTTTATAAGTCCGTCAAACTCCCCAGAAAATCCAATGGGGGATAATGAAAAACTCTTTAATATATTATAAAAATGGTTAAATAAACAATTGGGTATTGTTATTGGAAGTCTGCTGAAGAGAACCAGAGTTTTCCGAACGAAAAATATCGATTTTTCAAGAATTCTATTAAATTTCACGAAAAGTTTTTTTTTTTTATATAAAATACATGGAGAACTTTAAGCGCTTTGAGCGCCCTCTTAATATTTTTTGATTTCAAAATAATAAAATAGTGGTATATTTTTGCGATATAGGATAATCCTAGGGGGTGAGATCATTAAAATTCCGATTTTACTTGCTTTGGACCACCCTAATGTACACAGATGTTCTTACGTATGCGTTAAGAAAATGTCAAATTATTCAAAGGAATGCAGTGTTGGCTTCAAATAACATTGTGTATCAATTGTAATAGCGTATTCGTTCGTAGTAGTGAAGACCCCAAAAGGTTTTCACTCAACCTCGTCAACATTCACAGTATGGTTGCAAACCGATATTATGTAACGAAATAGTTGATGAACTTCCAAGAGCGCCATCAGCCCGACTGTCGAACAGACAAACTATATTCATAGGGAATAGGTGACAGTATTAGCAGGTTTTGCAGTTCAGGGCAAAACTGCAAAAAATTATTTGCGAAAACAGCGAATGTAATTATACATACTCCATTCTTTTTACCTACGGCCATAAAGGTTGGATTGTAGAGTTAATACCGTATTTCTGTGCGGTTCCAAGTATTTTAAGAGTCGGTTCTGTCGAGTCAGGTAGAAGTAGGACTGTCTTCGGTTATGCCGAAGGCTACTCACCTTTCATGGACATCAGACTTTTACTTCCGCCGATTACTGTATTTTTAAAGTTTGTCTATTCACTACGTACATAGAGGAGTATCGAGTACTAGGTTCAAGCATAAAAATATCCATCAAGCTACGTGGCAGTCTCTAGATCGAAAAACTAGAAACCAAATCCATCATGTTGTGATAGGCGGAACGTGCACTCCGAGGGCCAAACATCGTCTCTGTGCAGCAAAAAATGTGCGCCCAAAAATGCAAGGAAAGCTTAACGTCGAAAAGCTGCTATCACAACAGATAGCCGTTCATTAAGTAGCACCGTGGAAGAAGTCGGATTTCAGCGAGCCCGAAAGAACAACTGGTGCGATGAGGAGTGTCAGGAAGTTGCAGAGAAAAAAGATGCCGCCTACAGGGCCATGTTGCGATCGGGCGCAAGGCGAGAATTGTGGGACCACATTAGGGAACTGAAGAGGGAAGCGACACGTATTTGCCGTGGTATGAGGAGAGGGGCCAAAATAGTAAACTCGGATGTCGGGTTTTAAAATTTATGATTCCCCTTAAAACTATAGACCCATCAGTGTTTTGTCGGCACTATCAAAGGTCTTTGAAAAATATATCTCTAAACACAGCAATAATAAAGGTAATGGACGACTTTCGCCCCGCTTTTGATAACAAATTACTTACCATACTGGACTTCACTAAAGCTTTCGAACTATAAACAAAGATATTTTGCTATTGAAACTTCAACATTATTTCGGTTTTCACGCGACATCAATTAATTTGATGAAAAGCTACCTATCGAATAGGGTACAAAAAGTGTAATTATTTCCACATTTTGAAACACAGTAAAATTTCTTCTGGTATACCTCAGGGATCAATTTTTGGTCCGATACTTTTTATATTTTTAGTGAATGACATTGCTCATTGCTGTCAAAATGCCTCTATCCATATTTACGCTGACGACACCCAGATATATACCTTTCACGTTCTATTGGTCTTTGGGAAGACTTAACATTCAGGCTAAACGACGACCTAAGAAGAATTTTCATCTGGGCCAGAGGAAATGACCTTTGCTTAAACGCTGGTACTACCAATAGCGCACGACACTTTTGACCAGAGTGGATCGTCGCCAATTATGCTGAACGATACAGAGATCAAACTTCGATCGGTTGTGACTGACCTTGGATTTAAAATAAATTCCCATTTAAGTTGCCCAGATCACATTAGTTATATGTATCATATCGAAGGTATATTACATCTTAAGTAATCTGTGAAAAACATGTTACTGTCTACCCATCAACACAAAACTTAAACTCGCACAGGCCCTTATTATTCCTCAGATATCTTGCTTTGAAGCGGTATATAGTAATCTTGATAGCGAACCTAAAAATGAATTAAATATAATGTGAAGAGCTTGAGATACTGGTCGACCGGAAAAACGCCCGAAAATTTTACCAGAGAGATAGGCGGTTTACGGAAGGTTTCAAGACCAGGGTGAACTCCTGTAAGAACAACAATGGCGACCTAGTGATCGATGTCCTAAACGTACTTAAATTATGGAGGCAACATTATTCCACTGTACTGAATGAAGCAGCGCTGAAAGTTGTGGAGAAGACGAACACGAGCCCGATGAGGACGGAGTGGATGCTCCACCGCCTGACTATGACGAGGTGCGAATAACAATTATGCGGCTAAAAAACAACAAAGCTGGTGGAGCTGACGGCCTGGGAGCAAAGCTATTCAAGTACGGTGGCGAGCAGTTGATAAGGTGCATGCATCAACTCTTATGCAGAATATGGTCAGATGAACGCATGCCCGACGACTGGAATTTAACTGTGATCTGCTCAAGCGAAAAGAAAGGCGACCGCGCCATTCGCGCCAACTACCGGGGGATCAGCCTTCTAAGCATAGGTTATAAGATCTTATCGAGTGTATTGTGCGAAATACTGAAACCCACCGTCAATGAACGGACCTTATCAGCGACGCTTTAGACCGGGCAAATTCACCATAGACCAGGTATTCACAATACGCCAAATCCTGGAAAACACCCGCGAACATAGGATCGACACGCACCATCTATTTGTTGATATCAAAGCCGCTTTCGACAGCACGAAAAGAAGCTGTGTAAAATGACGTTGAGCAATACCACCAGCCCCGTCAGAATTTGGAATGACCTCTCCGAGCCGTTCGCCATCAAACGGGGTTTCAGACAGGGCGACTCCCTTTCATGTGACTTCTTTAATCTGATGTTGGAGAAGATAACAAAAGCTGCAGAACTGAACCGCTCAGGAACAATTTACATCGACATCATCGGTTACAAGAACCGCGAAGTCTGCTTTGCCTTTTCCAAGTTAGATAAGGAAGCAAAGCGAATGGGTCTCGTGGTAAACGAGCGCAAGACGAAGTATCTCCTGTCATCAAACAAACAGTCAGCACATTCGCGCCTTGGCACCCACGTCACTGTTGGCAGTTACAATTTCGAGAAAGTAGAAAATTTCGTTTACTTGGGAACCAGAATTAATACCGATAATAATGTCAGCATGGAAAATTCAACGCAGAATCACTCTTGCCAACGAGTTCACTTTGGACTGAGTAGGCAATTAAGGAGTTAAGTCCTCTCTCAACGTACGTCTCAACTACACTCCATAAGTCACCACTCATCATGCTCGTGTTGGTATATGTCTCAGAAGCATGGACAATGACAACATCCGATGAGGCGACACTTGCAGTATTCGAGAGAAAGATTTTGCGGAAGATTTACGGGCCTTTACACGATTTTTCCGGTTCCGAAAAATGGTTAATACATTTTAAAAATACACTCACTTAACAAATTGCATTCGAATAACTCGAAAACTGAGGGAATAGATCGCTTACAAACAGGCGGGCAGACGGATATGGCTAAATTGGCACAGCTCGAGGTTCTGAGTATATAAGTATGCATTTTCGTGGGTCTATCTCTTCTTCTTCTGGTACTTACAAACATCGGACCAAAGTTATAAAGCCATTTCATGCTCATAAAAAATATGATGATACATAATTCTTTAAACCATAACGTCAAATATTTTTAAATTAAGTTGGAAAATAAAAATTATTTAATATTCTCATAAATATGTGGTTACATTTAAAATTTTTTAACTCATTTTGAAAGTACCGGTTTAACGTGATAGTAAAAACCATTCCCTTTAGACGAATTTTTTAAAGAAAAAATTATACACCACAAACTAAGAAAAACATCACTGACTAAGTATAGAGGGCAAACGTTGAAAATTCATTTAAAAAGCAAATATTATTTTGTGGAGGAGAGCCCGGAACATATTCACCTTCCGGGCTTGGATTTTTTCTCGACGGCCCTGTTCATGTAAATATACATACATATGTTAAGCTATGTGTACATATGTATGCACACCCAATCTACTCATCCTCATCGGCGACGTTCGCCAAAAGCGCCAGTAGAGTGTAAGCGTTGTTCATAGTCTGAAAGTGAAGAAACAACAACGTTTTTAAGACCCGTTAAGTGCAAGAAAACTCGGCAGTACCTTTGAAAAAACTTGTAGTCCGATTTCGAAATAGCTTCCTGCACGCAGCGCAATTGGCTGCTTTAAGTCTTGCATATAGAGATAAATTAGACGGCGATTGTAGGCAGACATGTCCGTCCAATTGCAGCTGTACAGTTGCTTACTCAAATTTAGTGATTCCGCCGTCAATTCATTGGCATAATAGCATGGCAAAAATATTTGCAAAGACATGACGAAGCCATATTGTACCATAGCTACAAAATCGGCTGGATTATTGCTGAAACTTAACTAAATAAACACATCGAAAAAATAAAAAGTATTTCGCATTAACAGCTTTCGAAATTCCAAAGAGAACTTACACTTTGCAGATAATAAGCTGTAAAACAAATAATCATCGAACTGAATATAATCTGCACGAGAAAAGGTAGCGATACAATCTCCTCGCAACGTTTGACCATGCTAATTTTTTTTTTTTTTTTTTAAACGTAAAATGTAATAAAAGTAAAGCGAAAAATAAATTAAAGGTTTTTTTCAAAAAAAAAAAAAAAAAACTTACTCCTTCACGCGCTGCTGCATTTGAATTAATTTCAGAAGTTCGCTGGTGATTTCCACATCATCGCCTGCATCTTCCAAGCGCGCCATTCTTAAACCGATGAGCCGCAAACAAAGTGTTAAATGCAATAGATAATAACATTGTAAAGAATCTATTTCAATATTGCAACAACAAGTGAATATCACCGCCACGAAATCATACAAATATAACGGCCAGCCATTGCCTTCTCGCCATTTTTTGACCGGAATCCAATACGGAACTGGTAGCTGAGGTGTCTCCATGAAAACAACTGACAGGAAAGCTAAAAGCACGCAAATTATGCTCCAAATCCTATAAAAAGCCAATACTTTTTTGTAAGCGTTTTGCGCACGTCGCCACATTAGTTGTTCTTGTGGCGTGCGAGGCACGAAAAATTCACTCTGCTCCCATTCATGCAGCAACTTTGCCGCATTAGGTGCAAAACGCCAAATGTTGAGAACTTTTAGGACAACTACCGTTTCAGAAAGTGCAATCTTCAATACTTGGCTGGCATACTCCATATTTTGAATAAAAATTACCTCCAGCCACATAAGCGTGGCAAGAATGAAAGTGAATGAAACTTGTAATAAAAGCTGATAATATCGATAATATTGCTCGAACTTTGCGCCAGTGCCATTTTTGACGGGCCAGAGTCCCAAAAGTGTTAACGTGCGTATCGATGGTCGCAAATTGGCAATAGTGTCGAAGTACATCGCGCTGTTGGGAATAGGCGCGCCTTTCCAAAGAACTGTACTCCTCTGTTTATCATTGTTAGTTTTTATAGGTGAAAGTACAAAAGGTGACCGTCATGTTCGAGTGGTTAGAAAAGTGTGGTTTCACTCGGCAGGACACAAGTTCGATACCAAATCTATTAACAGTCAATTGTCGGCGGCCAATAGCGAAACGTCGAATATAGCTGCTCATAAAAAAACCTTTTGAAGGAGAAATTCGGCCAGACATATGTTAACTACTATGTATAAGAAATTTAAATTCGATTACTTTTAATGCACTGAGATAATTATTTGTAAGGTGTGAAGTGCGCGGTTTTCAATTAAAATGTGATTTACGAACATAGTGAATGCTTTGCATGCCTGTTGGATCTCTAAGTTTGAGTTCCCATATAAGAAATTATATGCTTTGACATTTGTTTATCTATTTAATTGATAAGTGCGTTTTAATTATTTAGTATTTGAGTTAAAAGAAAACTATAAGAGTTCCTCTGCGCTCTTACATATGTACATAAGTATCTGTGTTGGCAGACAGTGTTGCCGTTGCGCTACTAAAGAAGAAATTTAACCCTTTTTAGAATTTAGATTTTTCGACCCTTTTCCAAAATTATGTGCGACTTTTGCCCTTTTTCAGAGATGTTTTTTTTTTTTAGGAAATGTTAACAGAACCATGCTATTGAAAAATATTTCCTCCTGTAAGTATGAAAAAAATCATCACTTAAAACTTTTAAAGGACAAGCGACTTTTCTTGCAGCAACTGGATTTCTGTGTTTTGTTCAAAGCTTGTCCCACTATTTTCATTTTGAATTCAACAGTGGAACGTTCTAGCAGCGAAAAGATAAATTTGATTTTGACTTTGGAACTCAGATTTATTCTTTCGCAACGTAAAGAAAGCAAAAATAATATGGTGACCCTTTTTTTTGGGCAATTACCCCTTTTTTGCGACTTACTGCAAATTCTCAACGGCTACGCTGGTGGTAGCTATGTATATGCTACTGCATACCAAAAATTATTCTAGAAATTAAAATTAAAATGCATGGAATTGGGATGAAAAGTTTGTGGAATGTTTATAATTTTTGTAAGAAAGTCTGAAATTTAGATTTATATGGTGTTTGTTAGATAAGGAGTTATACTTTTATACAAAAATAATGAACCTTAAAAAAATCGAAAGAAAATTAGTCAAAACTTGTAAAAATGTTGATGTGCTGTCGTTTGTCGCGGGGTGTGGATATAGTCTCTTCTGTGCTGAAGGGTGTAAATATTCCAGGGTACGAAAATAAACTATATTGTACGTTACTATTTCGTTTCGTTTATTACTTCAACAGTTCGGTACAATACGAAAACAAAACGGCTGAGTTCACTTTGGCGATAGTACACTACAGTAGTTTAGTAGTTACAGACGAAACAACAAACGAAATGAATCGTGCAGAGAAAAATATATGTATGTATGTATACATATGAAATAACTTAACACAAAACGAATGGCTGCAATGAATAAAAAAATAAAAATGTTTTTTAATTGAATTGGATATGAAAATTTACAGAAAAAAATATTTTCCACGTAATTGAAACGTTTGTGATATCACCCTATGGTACAATTGTCATAAACGAAAAGCAAACGTTTCTCGTTGGGGAAAATTACAGTAAATCTTACAATGTGTTTCTGACTATGTACAAAACTGTACAAAACCACAAATGATATGATGATCGATGAGCAAATGGGAATTGTTTTGTACAGTTTATTTTCGTACTCTGAAATATTCAATAAATTCAAGAAGACATTTCATAAAATTAAGGAGTGTTTCTTTTTAAATGATAAAATCTAGCAGTTTTATCTTTAATTTTTAAATGATAATCTTATTTATAAAATCATTAGCAATTTTACATAAAATCAGTAAGGAATCTCGCATGTTTTACCCCAGAAACTTTTCATCTTGTTTCCAAAATGATGTCAATATTTTGGAACGTTTTCTAAGCGAGATATCTGTCGTGTTGTTGTTTCATATAGAAAACTGTAAAACGAAGACATCTACCTTTTGTAACACTCGAAGGTAAGCTTTTTAGCGTTTACATTTGGTAACCTCGTATCAGGGCTGCTTTATGGCAACACCAAACAACTTTTTTTTTTTTTTAATTTGTTGGGGACGTTATCTGTATTTGCATTTTATTTCAGTGATAAATGGGTGATAAAAACAAACAAAACAAGGTAAATAAAAAAAATTAAATGTTAGTAAAACAATTACAACAATGAAACGAAATGAAATATGAATTTGCTAATTTTCATTGTGGCGTATTGATGTTTATTTTAATAGTGTTATTGAGCTTTGTTTCACGATTTGTTAGTTAGGAAAAATGGAAAAAACAACAAAGCTTAAGCGATAGAAGTTATAGCAGCTATTTCGGAGATTACCACATTTCCTCATCGGACTTCTTTTTTAGGTTGAATAAGTGGTTATCTCTTCTGGCTTTGCACATCGATGATGCGGGTTCGATCCCCGCTGAAAGTCTAGAAAAGAGAAGTCTGATGAGGAGACCGTTTAATCTTTGATAATTTTTTTCATTATTCCTAATAAACAAATCGCGGTACAAAGATCAATAAGACTATTGAAATAAACATTAATACGCCACAATGAAAATTTTAAAGCTTCAAAACTGCATACCGAAAATTTTTTGTAAAAATTCTAAATACAAAGTTTAAAATTTTTGGGTGTAATTGCTAAAGTCTGTTAAATGTTTAAAAGAAAAATAGCCAAAACTAGGCAAAATCTCACTTGACTTAATCAGCTGACCACCACAAGTGCTTCTTCCCACTTTCAACGCACATCTTTCATTTATGGATTTATTAAAGGAACAGAAGTCGTAGAACAACAAGAGTTTTAATAACAGTTTTAACGACAAACACTTCAAATAAATAAATAAATGTACACAGGAAATAAACCGTTTGCGCTTAAAAAGTACCAACACTGGCCGGAGGGCATAATTTTACCCGAATTAACCGCAATTTCTTTAATTAAAAATTCCGAGTTGAGAAAATGTTACGTGGAAGGGTAGAATTGAAGTTAACCCCACCTGCAAAAAAGCGCGACAAACATACACGTAAACAAATGTACTATGCATACAAGTCGAAGGAACGAAAGAGATATGCACATAAATATTTAGTACATACATATATACATTCGTGACAACAGAAATAAGGTAAGGGTAAAAGTAGTGTAAATGCAATTTTCTCGCTGCTTTGACCCTTCTGACCATCGTATACTATGCACATTCTTAATTGCAAATTTAAGACCAGTTGTTAACGCTTCAAATTTAAATGCATAAGTTAATTTAGTTTAGCTTGACTGCTGACTGGTATTAGAAATAATTAAAAGTAACCGCCACAGTAAGAAAAAAGCAAATAAAATTTCAAAAAATACTCTTTCAAGCACTCGTCCGTCATACCTAATGTGACCAACCGTACTTCTTTTCGGCGAGATTTTTTTTTTCGCTATCGCTTTTTTTGACGCATGATATAAATGTTTTTGCGTCAAAAAGTGCGACAGCGATTCGAAAATTGTCGCTAACTGGTTACAGAATCTCCCCACAGGTCCTGTTCTTCTCCGTTCTTCTGGACATTCGTCACATGGCCTGGGCGATAAATTCGTTCAAACCATTAAAGTCGCGGGGGACAGATGGCATCATATCTCTGCAGCTGCAAAGGGCTCTGAAGGTGTCGTGCAATTGGTTGGATCCATGCATGAGGACCGGGTACGTCCCCAAGGTTTGGAGGGTAGTCAGTGTTGCGTTCATCCCGAAAGCTGGAAAGGGTTATCATGTTTCTCCTGTTCTCTCCTTCTCAAGAGCTCAATATGCTTATTGCAAGAAAAGGTCGGTGAATACCGTCCTGCACACAGTGGTAAAGTCGTCAGAGGAAGCCTTCACGCAGGAAGTTTATGCAGTAGGGGCCTCTTCGAAATCGAGGGGGCCTTCAAAAATGTCACTCCAGAGGCAATAGTCAAGTATATTCATAATCTGGGGATAGAAACCAACCTAATAAGCTTACTTTATGACAGAACTGTCGCGACGGAGTGGGGGAGTCAATGGGAGCACTCCGCAAGGTGGTGTTCTCTCTCCCCTGCCCTGGATTGCGGTTGTAAACGACCTTCTAGAGGAACTGGAAAAGTCTATGTAGATAATGTGGAACTTTTGATTAAGGGACGATTTCTATACACCCTTTTTGATCTACCTCAAGGTTACCTGAGCCAGGTAACTAAGTGGGCGATCAACGGCCCTTCCTATTACACTTTGATCAAAAGGTGGACATTTTGAGCCACTGCTAAAAATTATTACTATGAGATTCAGCA